CTCTTTCCTGTTCTCCTTTTCCTTTCTTTCCTGTACCATCTATTTCTAGCCTGTTTATGTAAACTGGATTTTAAGAACTTCTTGCTCACTTCCCACTCCTTTGCTAACTGTGGCAGAATCATCTTCATATTGTGGGTCATCTGTCTCCTGATTTGCAGGCCTAAGAAAAAGTTTTTCTTTCTTGCCTCGTGCCTATTGCAGGGCTAAAATTTCCTGCTTTATTCTTTAATCATGTATTTGCCAAAACTATAATGCCCTTGAAGCTGATGATGTTAAAGATTTCTTTTTCAGAAATAAACTTTCATATTTAGAGAAAAGGGAGCCTAACAAATCAGTATCTCCTCCTTTGCTCAGTATGTTCCCTATTTGTAGTGGTGGGGTGGGGGAAAGCACACAGTGTTTTCCCAGTTGTAGCTCACAGCTATGTGTACGGGTTGCTCATTCTGCCCGTGTGTTACAGAAGTTATGGCCAGTCCACATTACCACGGGTTGCTGCTAGTGTTAGGATGATGCCTTGGTGGCTTCATATTCATCGCTGACATGCCAGGAGAACTAACCTATTGAGGTCTCTGTAAGTAGGCACAGGAGGCAAGGGCCTCAAAACTTAATCCAGGGATCTGGGATTTTCACTTCGTATTGGTTAGAATTAGAGAATCACATCCTACTGTGTCTTTCTGAAGCTTATGCAAATAACCATAACCAGACCTGGAACTGAATTTGGAAATCCTACTGTGTTTTTACATCCTTCCACTGACTGTTTGGGAGTCTTAGATCCGAATAGAGAAAAAAAAACCTTAGGATGCTGTGACTGGTTATTTTGGTGGCAAGCATCAACTTTTTTATATCCTTTTACATGAAAAATATGGAGAATATTTATATTAAGAAGTCAGATATTGCGATTAGAGATTCTGCAGTGTGAATGAGAGTAATCTGCATAAATAGCATTTTTCTCAATAGCTCATTAGAGCACTGTTATCAAGGCCGAAATGAATAGTGACAAGTAAAAGGAGGAATGTGAGACAGGCAGGAATCACTTAGAGTCTTCCCTAAAAARATTAGATTCTCAATAGGACCTTAAATAGCCTTTTATAAGCTGAAGAAGTGGTACCAGTGCTGTCTATGCCATTTATGTTTTGTTGCATCGCATCCTCTTTGAAGGTAATGAAATTATGAAGTTGCCTAGATGGAGGGAGTCTTTTGATTGGTGTTTAGCCATTATACATGGATAGGTTAATGTGTGTGAACCTCCCAGCTGGAAGTTTCTAACACCAACTTGCAGTTTCCATCAGAGATCAAAGTAATTTACTAACATAAATTATTTATATATGGGGCTGAAAGAAATTCATAATAACAATAAGGCACCTCCATGAGATAATCACCGTGCCAGAAGCACTCGGCTGTACCTCATAGCCCTGCAGGGGTTTGTAATTATCTCCTGCAAACCACACCTCTAGTGATTGCTTTTTGTGGCTTCCTTGCACTGCTGCTACTTGCAGTATTTTTGGCTTGACAAATATTTTAGGGTGTAGCAGAAAAAAAAATACCATTGAACTTAAGAGCTTGTGGCAGTCATGCAAAGAGAAATGCTAATATTCAAGAAATATGGAAGAATACAAATATACAGATTTCAATAACTGTAAAAAATCCCAAATGTCATTCTGTTGTAATCTGAAGAGGAAACTATGCCTCTGTTTACAAGTTTTTCACTGGAATGAGTCCATCATCTGCTGCCGTTTCCCATGGCTTGCTGGTGATCTCCAGAAAACTGCTGTTTACAAGGTGTTGGCTTCTCCCCCATGCTTCCTGCAGCTAAAATTACATTAGAAGAGGCTAAAAATGCATTAAATGCTCTCATAAAATTACCCTTCTGTGTAGACAATGGCAGCATTTGCACAGAAGCGTAACGTGACTGCAGATGGAAACAGGCTGGTGAGAGGTGATGGTCTCTGTGGCAATAACTGTGCTTGTAAAACACCTCCTCCAACCGCTGCCCAAGTGCTCAAAGCAGACACAACTGCTGATCAGAAACAACTGATTTGTTGTTTCTCCAACACAATTTTATGCTTAGCAAACACACTGCAGTCTCAACACAAATACACACATCCACGCAGAACACCTAGATAAGAAAAGTCGAAGGAACTGTGTGTAAGAAGCGTTTTATTAATTTAAAAAGAACTACCAAAATAAATGGTGGTCAGTAAATGAGGTCCTGCTCTTCTGCTGTGACCAAAGTTTTGCCTCCTGAATCCAGGTGCAATGGCAGAGCCCTCACATGCTGGATGGTACATAAAGGTCTCTGAGACGGGGGATGAAGAAGAGCTTTCAGATATGCTCTGTTTCAGTCTTATTCAAAGCACACTATAAATCAACCTGGCTAATTTAAACCAAGTCTACCATGTAATAGAGCAGCTACTGCAAAGGACAAAAGGAGGCTTGGTTATCTATGGTCATGATAACACAAATCGATAGGCAATTGATTTCTTCCATTCGAAACAAGCTGCAAGTGATAGATCAACTTCCCTGTGTACCCAGCAAGCACAGCCTGCTCCAAAACTGAATGTCAAGAGAGCAAAAGTGTGCTTTGCCRTCACCAGGTCATTGCATGGTCAGTGAGAGCTGAGCACGAGCTGTGCAGATTGAGCAGCTAAAATCCATATTTCCATGGTCAGAACCTATCCTGAGATTTTTACAGCCCATATGGATAGATAAGAGTGGCAAGTATCTGTAAAAATGCAGTCCATGCCATGAAAGGTATCTTGGGTTATTTAGATACGAGTAAAAAATGCAAATTTTGTGATACCAAGGTCTCCTTTTTTTCTGAAGAAGGTCATAACATCATTAGAGCTCTGCTAGGGCAATTTGAGGTCTCCAAGATACCCCTTCCTAATTATATCCTTTCCAGCTTGAAAAGTCATAATCTACTTAGCTGTTCCTGACWTGGAAGCTGTGTCATATCTTTGATCATTCCTGCTGCTCTTCCTGAAATCTTTCCAAATTCTGTCTGTGTTTTGGGTGGGGAGGGAGGTGGGGGTCATGGCGGGCATGGACCAGGGAAATAACTAAACTACTCTTGAAGATAGTAGTTTAATAGAGTGCATTTATATTTATACAGTGTTTTTATACATGAATTTATACATTTAACATCATGAGCTGTTCTGTTTCATCTTGCTTTGCCTTTCTGCTTTTTAACTTTTTGCTAGTTCTGTATCCTTTCTGGCCGCTGGATATCAGTGAGCTAGTGTTTTGCATGGAGCTGTCTATGACAACCCTAAGGTTTTGTTCTCAGCTTGTAATGATTATTTCACAGTCTATTCCCTTAGAGGTGTTATAGTAGCATCTAAGTTTTTAAAGATTAGAAGGAACAACAACTGCCTGATGCCAATACATAAGGCTCTAGTCCTTCATTTAGAATAACCAGATTCCTGCATTCCCAAGTTTTCTCAAATGTACCCGTGCACCCTTTGATACAGGAGGGAGCTGTAACCTGGAAGTATATTTGAGTACCTGGCACACATTCTTCAGGAGGATATACTGCAGATTCTTATCTAAACRTGGATAAAATGTGATGGTGTGAAAAAGTTGTTGAGAAAGAATATAAGGAAATGAAATGACARTATACGGAATATATGCTATTCAGTAGGGATTTTATTTTAAAAAATGCCAGCGTACACAGAGATATTCAGATACTTGATTGCACAGATTACAGTGAATAAAGCACGCTTTAAGACAGCATATGCACTTAATTTTCGGTGAAAAAATACTTACAAAATATGATATTATGTATCTATTTATCTAGATATCTACATCTACATGATGCCAAAACTCTGGCCTAATTATGCTCAGCTTCTCTCAAATGGCTTAGAAGCTTAAGCTCCCCATTTGAGAAGAACATTTACATTTGAAACCCTTTGAACGTGGTCTGTCCTTTCTCTGTGAAATACCAACTGCTTTATGAACTTGTGAAAACTAGCATTCCCCAGGCTCCCGGGATGAAGATCTCATTTGTCTCCTTCCTCCTGACTTTTTAGATTACCATGTCTTTTTGTATTTGCAGGAGAGCATACTTCCTGCAAAAATTAGCTGGTGTCTTAGCAAACAGCTTGGATACACCCCCAAAACTTTTCAACAACCAACCTTGCAGTACATTCCGGAAAAAAAAAAAAAAAAAAAAAGACAAGGCACTGGAGCCTTATCTTGACAGAAATGTACTTTATAGTCTACTGCCAGAATAAATTGTGCAAATAGATATGTGCCATAAGCACTGCTGCCTTTGAAAGAGGAGCAGTGCTGTCAGAAATGCCTTTTTGGGCTATTTAGTTGATTCGCCTCCTCTCCAGAGCACCACGATTAACCCCCCGGAGAGACGGCAGCGCTGCAGGAAAAGGAGAGCAGCAGCTCTCATCTGTCTAATGATTTTTTTTCTAAGTGCTGCTTTGCTCTTTTCTCTCTCTCATGTCTGCAAGTCCATGCAGTTTACTTATAAAACCCAGTCCCCATAATTCTGGCGTGGAGGGAAAGGCTTAATTATGTTCAGACCTATTGACAAAGTACAAAGCAACAAACCCTGAAAGGCTGGGTTTGGTGGGATCCCAGGTGATGGGTACGAGGCCAAAGGCAAAACCAAATCCAACACTGAAACCAGTTTGTGACAGCAGGAGGGATGTGCCTTGAGCCTCAGCCCTCCTCTCTTGCCTCTTTGATGAGAGACAGAGCCTTTTTAGACTGATGGTTTGTACTCAGTGCTTATTTTACTTTGCTGCTTTATGACAAAGTGTGATGAGAAAGAACCATGTCACTATATCACGGGAAACAACGCAGTGGTTTCATACACGTGTGTGTTAAGGGGCTTCACTGAAACACAGTCTGMGGAAAAAAGTTGTTGCTTGGTACTGAAAGGAATCTAAAATGCCATCCTGTTGATTGTGGCTTTTAAAACTGTATTTAAAAGATGCAAATGATCAAACAAAACAAAAACAAAAACTGTCTTGTTTGCTTTCCAGCAAGAAAAACTGGGTGATATCTGCTTCTCCCTCCGTTACGTGCCTACTGCTGGCAAGCTGACTGTCGTCATCCTAGAGGCCAAGAACCTGAAGAAGATGGATGTCGGAGGGCTATCAGGTAAGAGCACCAATATCTGCTGGTAGATTGTGCAGGCTTGCAGACCTGAAAAGCAACTCACTTGCCCGTTGTCATCTCATGGAGGAGAAGGTAAGGGGTCTTGTTTGCAGTCTGAAAAACGTGCTTTGTGTTCTCTGAAATTCGATGAAGGACTCGAGCCTATCAGAACTGGTTCTAGCTTGAAAAAAAAAAGGGAATTTCATTATGCATTGCACTCCATGATGAGGTCGGAAGAGTTAAACAGTCAGATGGCATTGCAAGCTCTCTGCACTTTCCTTCTTCCCTGTTGCCTGGAGATAAATATGGACTATTCAGGCAGGAGAAAAAAAAAAAAAAAAGAAGCTGACTACAATTCCTATTGTCTGTTTAATCTCACACAATGTGAGCATTCCCCTGCACTGTTGCTGACAATGCCTAATAGAGGAACTGACAACAGGTCAGGGTGCTGCCTGAGCGCTCTGTGCCTCTCAGGGGCTCCGTGCGAATGGCCGAGGCACAAGGCTGGGCAGGAGGGAGCCCCGTTCTCCTCGTGCACCTCCACGTTCGTTCCCGGCTGCATCGGGAGTTCTTGGAAGCCAGCTACTGTCTGACTTGCCAATTAGCCGGGGACAAATTAAATAACAAGGTGTTGTATCAGTCTTTCCAGGAGAAATTGGTTTTATGTGGGAAATTTTGTTTTATGTTCAAAAGGGATGGTTTGAACAGTGGTGAGGGTGAGGATGTTTACAGCACAGCTCTCAAACTGAAAACTTATAGTACTGTCAGTAACACACAGAGGTGATTTCCCTTTGACAAATGACAGTCAAAATTAAGCAAGTGTTTCMCTTCTGCTTCCTGTAATCTTAGAACAAGGTAAGAGTTAATCTCAAAATATATACAGGAATGAGAACCTGATCCAAGTAAGTCTGGAGGTTCTAGGTACTATCTTTGACGAGCAGGAGGAAYGGTCACAAAGAGGAACAAGTCCCTTCCTAGTTACCAGGTATCTTTATTTTCTTCTACTTGCTTTTGAAGTCTTTCACTGTACAGCAAGAGACCTCAAAATGTAAAAGTCATCAAACATGACATKCTTGTAGTTTTGTCTGAAACCAAGACTATGTTTTTCAACATCAGTTTTAAAATGTGGACACCAGTTTAGGAAACACCACAATAGTTTCCCTGACATCTCTACTGGTCCAATTGCAAATTAATGTTCTTAGACACATGTCCTTATAAACTGTATCCTAATGAAAGATGAGACTCTTTCTCTCGCTAATGAAGAAGCGTGATTTTTGTGACTTGAATACAGGCTGAAGAGCCAGAGCATCTATATTCTTTCCCAGGATTTGCAACGAATGTGATAAACCATGGCTACTGAGCTTGTAAGAAAAGAAATGGGCAGGAGAAACACTAATGAACTGAAGACCTTCTACRCACTTCAGGAGGAAAATACAATGCACTCTGCTGCAAATAACTAGGAGAAAATGGTCCTTTGCTCACCTGCTTGTGCTAAAATGTCAGAACAGTGTAAGAGGACATTTAAATATATTTCTAGGGGATGATGAGTTTTGTTCTCCTTTTCTTAGGGCCATTTCAACCTAAAAACATCATGTTCTCTCAGAGACAAACAAACCCAGTGGGATGCTGTGGTTGTAGTAGGAATTCAAAAGTCACTGACAGTGATAAATGGCAGTTAGTACGGTATTCCTGAGGCAGTAATTATAGATGAAATAATGTTGTTTTAAAGTGAATCCAGTGAATCTTTCATTAGAGAATTTTTCTTTGAATAAATTATGCAGAAATAACTTTTGAAATCAAGCTGAGATTTTGTTTTCGTAATTCACAATAAATAATACCTGCTCTCAAAGTAAGGCACTGCTTAATGACAATGAAGGTGGCAAGATTTTATCTCAATTAGTGAGCACTTTTCCAACTAGTTTTGTTATTTTTCTCTAAAAACCAAAATTGCTTTCCATTTTKCAGAAGTGAAAGTTTTGCATTGCAGTGGAGGTGGCAAATGTTAACAATCAAATGTGTTCTGAATGTTACCTGTAGACTCAGCAGCACTTACTGTCACCAAGGGAAGGCCATTACCAGGAGGTAAAAATTACGTGGGTGTCACAAAATAAATGAAATGCTAAAAGTTTGTCAAAAATAGGCAAAAAGTGTCTGAGTTCTCAGTTTAAAATATGTTTGTTGTTCTCGCCTCTTTTGGAGAATGCTGGAAAGATGCTGGAAAAGCCTAATGGAGATGTTTGGAAAGAGCAGGGCTTTTTCTTCCACCTCRCAGGGGAGATGAGTCACGCTGTGGAAAGGAGGGCACTTGGGTGCCCATTTCCCCRCACATTTTAGTATCACTCCTTCTGTTGACTATCTGCTATACCCTTKCTCCTCATCGAAGCTTGAGCATAATCCTCAAAGAGCTGCCTTACCTTTTGCATCCATAACTGTGGTTAGGAACATGCTTAATTTTAAACATACATATTTATGTCCTGAAGTAGAGCCAGCTCAACAAGATAACAGTCGAAAGCAGCAGTCTGTTCAAAAGACATTGAAAGTGCTACCACCCCTAGCGTCTTCAGTCGTGTGAACCTAGTGAATCTAGTAGTGAAATACTGACCCAGCTACTCACCAYGTGTATCCCACTGGATGGTTACTACAGTTGCAAACAAAACCGTCATCTCCGGCATTCTGAACTTTTCCATAAATTTTATTTGCAWTCCAAAGCCAAGTGCAAATTACTTTGGAAAGAGACAATAAAAGACAACAGACTAATCATCAAATTCATTAGACTTCTTGTAACAAAACCAGATCACCCATCTGAGCAATAAACTCCCAGGTCTTAAACTTAATTGCAACATCAGGCTGTGACTAAAGCAAACCTTGGCACAGACGCCGAAACTGTTCAGCTTGAGCTCATCAAGTCACCAGAACAAGTGAAAATTATTACTTCTGGTGAACAAGAGCCTCTGGCAAACAATTATGCATGTTTTTAAATGGCATTTTAATTATTCAAATTAWATTCAAATGTATTTTTAATGAATCGGACATCTGGCAGGTGATATGTAGGAATGCTGACTATAAAGAGATTATTATTATTTGTCTGAGTTTGGTAAACCCCTGTTACATAACGTTCTACGTATTCTTCATCTAAAATAACTAAGTGACTTAGACGTTTATGTCTTACTGAAAATAACGATAACTTAGACTCCTAAGTAACTGTGGGCTTTTAACAAGAAAAAATGGGAAGGATTGAAAACCAGCTTGCAGTTTAATCTCTACAGACATAAAGACCAGCTGATTTTTCCAAAAGGACAGAATGCAGCTCAGCAATGCCATTAAGTTCACAAGGGTTGTCCATGCTTATTGATACTTTATTCATGTTCCCAGCCCCCAGAGTTATCTGCATCTCCCCTATGAGAAATTAGTTTAAATCAGAGTGGTGGTGAATTCAGTTACTGATTTAAATAAGAAAGCATGAAACCATTATTTAAATTCATCTTAATCTTATTTTGTACTTGTAATCTTTACTTATTTTCTAAAGAAAAAAGTAGTTTAACACTTAGCACATATGACTTGCAAATAAATGCAGTCTGGTCAATAAATATGCTTCTCCTTTTCATTTCATAGGAAAAATCCTCGAATTGATGCACATTTATGCAGACAGTTCTGTGGTGTTTCATGCATTTAGTCATGTCTTACATTTGGATTCACTTTTGTTCCAGAGAGGAAGTAAAGTTTTCTCTCTTTCYAACTTCCAGCAGCTCTGCCTGCTTTGCCTGAGCCAATCATTGAAATAAATTACTGGAATGCTTTGGAAACGTTTTCCCTCTCAACTTTCAGAAGCACCTGGGGCTGGCATCTAAGCAAACTGCTGTTGTGGGTGTTTAACTGCCGAGGCTCYTTGGCTTAAAGCACTGTCTTAAGAACTCCAGGGGCAGTATGTATGCCTGGCAAAATACTGTTTTGCTTTACATCTGAAATGCTTCACTTTTTAGTAGCTGATAAGAAGTGTAAGCCTGAAAATAGCTTATCATTCTTTCAGGATTAATTTCAACATGGTTTATTCCTTCTACAAAACTTTGAAAATGAAAGTGTTTGCATTTTATGCATATTATTTTAATATGCTTAGCCTTTAGTCAGTCTAATTAGCAGGGATGTATCCTAGTAGCAGGCTTTTTCTTTCTTCCCTTATCTCCTTAGCAGTGCTGCCCCTCTGCATTCCCCTTGGTCAGACCCGGAGTAGCAGCAGGGAGAAGAGGGCCCTACGGACGCGTGCTCACGGATTGCCTTGGGAACTGTTGCCAAGTAGCACGGATTAGTGCAGACCCTAAACTGCACCTATTTATGCCAGATTAATGCAGAGGAAGAATTGCAAAGAGAAAAGGGCTGTGATGGAATCCGTGCTGCTCTTCCTTCTGCAGGAAGGTGCAGATGCCGCCATGGAAGAGAACRGGGCCCACAGTCCCATCCATTATGTGTGAAGGCTAATCTCAATATTTATGAGTTATAAATAGAATATGCACAGCGCTTCTTTGTATCTGCCAAGCAAATACTATAAACCAGAACCACCTCTGAGGACCAAATAATGCCACAGCAGAAATGAAGCTAGTTTTCTACAATTATATATTTGCTTTAAATATTGCATTAAATTTCAGGGATTTGTTGTATGTCTTATGAAAGAATGTCATTGAAAAGTAAAAAAAAATAGTTTAGAACCTGAATCTTTGATGGGGGAGTGTGAATGCTCATGAATTATGCAGTTAGAGCATTCACTTTAATAACTTCATTAAAATAGAAGAAACCTTAAAAGTTATCTAACATGAATGTAATATTATGGGAAGAGAAATACACTATTAGTGCCATGGCCTTGATATAAGCCATATTGTAAGGATAATTCAGCAGACATTAAGGAGAAAGAAAACAGCCTTATTAAAAGACAAAATTAAAAATAAAAAACAAACATCACCACAACAACAGCTGCATTTCCAACTGGCTTAATCCTAGAGAACCCAGCAGAG